TCTTTAGTGTGGTCCCTACTACCTAGCCCAGCAAATGTAAACACTGAGCATTTGGGGACTTTATAAATGAGTGAACACTTTCGAAGCTGAACTTCTTGAGCCCCAATAATGAGGATCTGGGGTGCACCACTACACTGACCTGCCTCATATGCAGAACAGGCCAGCTCCAATTTAGCCCTGAGAGCTTCAGAGCATTACAACTGCGAAGGCCCCCAGGTGGGACTAAAAGGGGAAAGAGAAAAACCCTGAATGGGAAGGGAGGGAAGCAACAGGGAGGGCAGCTCAGTGGGAAGAGTGGGGAATAAAAAAGGACCAATTATTTGCTAAAACAACACCAATGGAGTACCTCCTATATGCCAGACATATAACTCACTCAATCCTCTGAATGCTCTTGTTGCCTCTCTAGATGGGAAGCCTTAAAATCAGTGAAGTTAAGCAACTTGCCTAGAGTCACACAGCTAGTAACTGGCAGAGTCAAGTTCCAAACTTGGAGAATATGACTGCAAAGCCCAAGGCCCCAGACTGCACTTACCAAAGTGTATCCCATAGAATACACTGCTTTCTCTGGGTACCCAATACATGAGGAGTGAAAAAAAATTAAAAACATGCAGTCAAAGGCAAATCTGGGAAATGCTAAGTTAAATGGGTCTTACTAAAAGGCCTCTTAGAGCTTTTGAATTGCTAATGAGCATTGTGAAATTCCAAGGGATGAACAGAGTTAGGAGTATGTCCCAGACTTACTTGACTAAGGGCTTTTTCTCTGGCAAGCATCTTGCTGGACCAGTTGCCACTTTCAGAAGCATAAACCTTGTATCTGCTCCACACCCATTTCCATTCCTCCTTCCCCCTACAGGACGGGAAACCACTCACCTTGGCCCGCTGCCCTCTCAAACTACACACCTGCCCAACTCTCGCCACAGACATCTGTCTTTGAGGATTTCACAAGGGAAAATTTTCAACTCCTGTCTGTCCCTTCTGTGAGATTTGGCATTAAATCACTACAATCAAAAAGGATATCCTACTCTACCCAAATCTCAGGAAGAATCCTTCTTAGAAAAGCCTGCGCTGACGGCTACTATAGGCCATTGACAGAAGCATTAATGATTCACTTCAAGATAACAGCTGAGAGACATCTTCCATCTTGCGGAAGGAGCCTGGCAGGTGAGGCATTTTCCCGCTAACTGCCTTGGAATCAATCTCATGGTAAGTGCTCCTTCTACAAGGCCCTGTTGGCCAAAGTTCAGTAAACATCCTTAAGCAGAGACAGTAATTATAGGTAACTTTCTTTCTAATTAAATCTATTGGGGTAACATTGATTAATAAGATTATAGGGGGTGCACAGTTCTATGACATATCATCTGTATACTGTATTGTGTGCCCACCACCCAAAGTCAAATCATCCTAAATACAGTGAGTGTCCTAACTATTCACAGCACCTAAGACAATCAGGAGCGACCTGGGCATTTCAGAGGCCAACCTGAAAACTGAGTGGTAAATCTGAGCACCCTGAAATAAGCCAAACTCCAAGCTAATTAATGATGCAGTAGAGGAGTTACCTAACAGTCCTGTAGGAGGAACATCATTTAGCAGGCATGTCTTGGATTTCTAATCACAGCTGTTGAGTCACCAGACTGTGCTCTAAAATACTGCCCTCATCAGTCACTCCTCTGCTCACAAACACTCTGTGGCTCCCTAGTGCTGATAAAACAAAGTTCAGATTTCATAGACTGGCCTATTCTTCATAACCTAACTCAACTCCACCTTCCGGCTGTGCTCCACCAGAACTCCCCACGTAGTCTTCCTACCCCTTTTCTCCCCTTTCATGTCAAGCCCATTCCACACTCACCTCCATCATCAGGCCCTTTCCACCTCTGTCCCTGCCTGTAAATGTCATGTGAAACTCTGGAATGCTTTCCACCCTGAAAGTTTTCCCCAACCACAAAACCACCTGAACCATGTTCCATTCTCTTTCAGCTTAGGAGGGGAAATGACCTCTCTGCAGCCAACAGCTTCCACTGAGGTTTAGCAATTCTCCTATTTTCTGGAAGATGAGATGCTGTACGTCTTCCACACCTGTGGCTTATATTTCAGCAAGTGGTGTCAGCGCTGAAATAGTAACCTCCCATTTTTATTGAGCAGCAAACAGCGTAACTGGTGACATCTGCTGGGGCTGATATTTTAAGTGAAGGCTCTTCTCAGACTGGCCTCCTCTCCCGTGACTCTGTATATAAATAGCCAACAGCAGCCACACCTGAGGTATGAGATGGAGCTTCTCCGCTGAAGTCCTCAATTATACCCCATAAAATCATGAGGTTTTTCTGGGAGGATTTATATTGGGCTGGCAATAAAATTTGTTTCATTTTTTCTGTATGATGGCTCTTAGTTGCCTTTAACTTCATTCCACGCAATTTTGTTATATTGTGTTGTGACAGCTGTCATATCAGTGTGCATTAATAAAGTCTATTAAAATTGGTGAGTTTTTGTGCTGCCATTTTACGTTGAGGATGAAATATGCAACATTTTCAGCATATTATGCTTTATTTTTTCAAGAAAGGTAAAAGCGCAACTGAAACTCAAAAAAAGATTTGTGCAGCGTATGGAGGAGGTGCTGTGACTGACTGAATGTGTCAAAAGTGGTTTGCAAAGTTTCTCAGTACTATCGACATTTTGGCCAAATAATTTTTGGCTGTGAGGCTGTCTTATGTGCTGGAAGATGTTCCGCAGCACCCCTGGCCTCCACCCACTAGAAGCCAATAGAAGAAAAGAGCTGACATACTCAAAATGTCCATCTCAATAAAGTTATTGGTGAAAATAAAAATGTGTCTTTTATTTCACAGAAAAAACCATATGGGCTTTTTGGCCAGCCCAATACAAGCAGATCTGGCTTTCAGATCTGCAAAGCTAGAAAAAGCGGGACCAGGGGCAGGGCTCTGCTGGGAAGAGTTGCCGGCATTCTCTGGTCTTTTTGGTGAAACAGATTTGAACACCCTGTTCTTTTTGGGTGCTCGGTTTCTGTGTTAACCCTTAAATCAAGGGAGGCTGTCACGTACGTCCTTGAGGGGCAACGATACCCATCATCAGGTGTTACCTTTCCAAGGAGTATCAGTAACAGCAAACACAGGTGCCCAGGTGAAGTTCTTGGGTCCGTTTGCAAGCCCGGGGGAGTGTTCACCTGGCGGTGTTCAGGCAATGCCCATCCTCATAAGACAGAGGCCTATTTCTGGTTCGCTGCCACCACCGGCCGAGGCGCCTCTGCGAACACAGTCCAGGCAGGATGTTCACGGAGGGGCGGGTGTTCCGACCCAGATAATGCCCTGCTGTGCATCTGAGTGTTCTTCCACAGTGCAGGTACATCCTTTCAGAGGAAGTTTTTAGACATGTTGACCATTTTTGATGGAAAATTTCTAAATTACAAATACCTTCATATGCTCTGATTGGAGGTTGCTTAGATATGTATAAGCCCAGACAGACCCTTTGAAGAAAGTCTTCCTTGGTACGTGCTTCCTGCACACACAATGCACACACCAAGTGCCCCAGCTACAGGCCCGCTGCTTCTGCACGCCAACCTGGTCCTGGCCACTAACAACAGACCCACTGCTGCTGCGGTCAGAGTCATCATCTCCCCACCCCGAGCTCCACCAGGGTGGGCACCCCTGCTTGTGTGCTTTGTCCCCAGAAGCTGGCTCGGTGCTTATAGGCATAGCAATAGTTAACCCATGTTTGAGAATGAGCGCATGCATGTACATATGAATGAATGGAACGTTGCCCTACTGAGGGGCATGAGCTAAAACATGTATGTGGGAATCTCAATACCAATCTTGCTTATAAGAAAACCAGAGTCCAGAGAGAGAGTGGGACCCCTTAAAAACAACAAGGCTTCAAAATCTTTCCCAAAACAGACATTAACGTGAAATCGACAATATCAATTTACTTTTCCAATGCTTGCCTTTCAGACTGTGTGGATTAAACTCTGGGAAGAGAGCATTTCAGCCTCACATGGAAGCAGCAATGCTCTCCTCAGTCTGACAGATACACCTTCCAAAAGTGCAAGGTATGTTTGCCATCAATTACGCTGCAGCTGAGGCCTTGCTGCTCTCACTCATGATCACGCCTCTCTGTTTGCCATCAAAATGGCAACGATGCGACAGAAAGGAGCACCGTCTACCATGTGACAGGTTGATGCCTTGACTTCTCTGTGCCGAGCTGACCATCACGATCCCATCAAACACTTAAGCTACAGAACCGAAATGCACCCTCAGAAGCATGGACCTTTGAGACTTGGTAGTTACATCTGTCCTCAAGTGTCAGCACTAATCACATACACGTACCTAAGATACAGCCTGCCATCACTTTCAGCAAGCAGAGGCAGTGCTGGCAGCAGTCACCCCTGGCACAGTGGGAACAGGCACGTGATTTGCGGCAGAGGAGCCACCAGAGGACCCGGTGGTGAGTGACGGTGACCCTCAGGAGTGGGCTTTGTGTCGGGAGTGGAAGAGCCTTCTGAGGGCTGGGCTCGAACCCCTGCGATCGGTGAGCCAACTCTGAAACACACTTGTGTTTGGAAGCCACGATGAACTTAGTTAACGAATGAAAATACTAATGCCGGTGAAAGCCCCTCGGGACCAACCCGTTTCTGAAAAGGAAGCTCCAGGTCACGGCTCACGGGCCCCGGGCAGCCCCTTTGGGCGCAGTCGCTCCCACGCATGGAATGGCTGGGTTTAGCGTGGCAGCGCTCCAGATTAACCAACACCCACTTCACTTTTTTTTCCAGACAAAAGCAACCAACAATTAGTTCGGTCAATTCAATTACAAATTCTTTCTTAATCTGTTTTAGGCAATCTCAAAAAAACCAATTTGATCAAAGTTTTGACCACCCCAGTCAATTCAGTTCCCAAAGTCAGGGAAATAAGACCCTTGTGGAAACTCTAACTCAGCAAAGGAAGGACAAAAGAGACAGCATTTCCCATGAGATATACAGCAAGAAATACAGCATCCTTTACCTTGGTCAAAGGGCTTGTTGGGATTCCAGTTTCTGAAATAATCATCCTATATAATGAAAAGAAATAGAAAACAAAGGTCAGATTTCAGGCAGTTTCTCAGGTGACTGCATAAAGAGCTGCCATTCTCCCCACCTCCCAAAACACAAAGGAAAACAACAGGCTTCAAAATCTTTCCCAAAACAGACATTAACGTGAAATCGACAATATCAATTTACTTTTCCAATGCTTGCCTTTCAGACTGTGTGGATTAAACTCTGGGAAGAGAGCATTTCAGCCTCACATGGAAGCAGCAATGCTCTCCTCAATCTGACAGATACACCTTCCAAAAGTGCAAGGTGTGTTTGCCATCAATTACGCTGCAGCTGAGGCCTTGCTGCTCTCACTCATGATCACGCCTCTCTGTTTGTAACAGCTGATAATTCAATTGTCAACATTTCTTTTACATGGAGATGTGTAGCTTGTGCCCAGTTCCCAGTTTTCCGGCACTCACAAAACCTAAAAACAGAGGGCCGTGCAAATGCTAGAATTAACCACAGGCAAACGTGTAGCTTCACACCATTTGTTCCCAATGTGTAAAGATAAAAAAACAAAGGCTGGCCAATCTGGCTGATTGATAACCATGTCTCCCTTGATACAGCTGGAATCGTTTATGCTCCGAGGCTAGACACTTCATTACTTTAAAACTGCAAGGGCCTGGGTCACCCCCTTCTTCATGGTTACATTTAATCTCTTCCCCACTCCCAATAACCCTTTCCTTCCAAACCAGCACTCCGTCTCCTCTACCCGTCCAACCCGCGGTGCTCACCCACCCTCACTGTGCCAGCAAAACCGAAGTTTGTAAGGTGCAGAGGCTTCACCCTTGTACACCATCCTCACACCATTTTAAGGGCATGTGCCCCCTTTTCAGTTAATTTCCTCCTAGCTGTACCCAAATTATTTGCCACATGTGCTTTTGGCAGGTATTCTGAACCTGCAGACAGCTTCAGGAGGTCCAAAATAAGGCCTCAATTTCTCTCCCAGAAAAGTTAATTTACATCAAAGTGCACAATTAGTTTAAATTATTGTCCACGCTGTCTGCAGATGCAGTTTATCTCTGCCACAGCCACCTGTGAATGTCATCGGCCTCTGTGTTGTGCAATTACCTGGCTTTATTAAACCCTTGTTGAGTTCACCTAAGCCCTTAAATAGATTTCAGGAAACTGGATTTAGAGTAAAATCAGAACATATTGCTTCATGGGCAGTGATTCCATTCTCCAGAGCATGAATAAACATGAGCAGGTTCCTCTGGATCCTTAGGAGTCTCCAGGAAATTATTTTTAACTCCAAGGACCTGGACCCCTTTGCTCTGTCTCTGATTTGATGGTAGAACTGCCCGCTGCACCCGTCTGGTCGAATGTCTCTCAGGCTGCACCCTAAAGGACCACTGAGAAAGCTCAGCACAGTCCCCCGGCATCATCTCTCTCCATCCATGATGCCAAGTCACTGGAACTCTGTGGTTTGAAACCCAGCAGCCAGCATTCAATGATTCCAAGTTAAGGGCCGGATGGTAGGCGGTAAATTTAGCACCCAATTTCTCAGTTTGATGGCCAGTGTGCTCTGAGCCGTAGACACAAGCATGGTGCCAACACATTCCGCTGTTCACAAGGACAAGAGAGGAGACAACCCAAGATGAACTCATCTTCACCACTGAAGAAAAAGGTAACAAAATGTCCATCTTTCCGACTGAAATTCATTGATGCCCTCCTCACATTCAGAGGATGGCATCATGTCCAATGGCAAGGGGGAGTCTTGGGAAATGCTTTCTACTTCAATGTGCGGTTCTAAGATAAGGAAGTCCTTGGGAACTCAGGATTGGTGTCCGAAACATCACGTTCTCTCTGATGTCAAAGAAAGGTTTGCAGAAGTCTCAAGAACTGAGTATTCCCTAATGACTTCAACATGCTTTATAACTTGGATGGAATTTGAAGCATGCTTCTGGACCCTGTCACTTTTCCTATAATTGCCCTTTTTACAGATTTCTTGGGGGACATCATAGTTTTAAATGTAAAGCCTCTAAAAGCAGATAGCTGCATTAGAATATTTGAAACCTACTGAAATGTAATAACACTGCCTAATTGCTGCCAAAATGTGAAAGTACACCTTGAATGAAAGCTCATTATGCAAAATGGGTCCTTCAAACAGCCCCTTGCTCAGCAAGGCCAAGCAGGGAAAGAAAATGATTCCTTGCGTCTGATTGCTTTTGCTTAACCTTAGGAAAGTGGATTGCCAAAGCAAAAAGCAATGAGCCAGGAGCCGATAAGACCTTCGGTGTAACTGGCTTGGCTATAACTGAGAGGGAAACCCCCTATCAGGGGCCATGACCGTGAACATTCAGGAAGTGCTCCAGGTACCAGAGCCCACTTGGGGGATGGATGGCCAGGGAGCACAGGGGAGGGGGGCTTCTTCATGGGCATGCTGCAAGCCTGAGATTCCCGGACACACGGGTCCCCTCCCACACTGTGCCAGCCAGTATGGCCCATCCAGGCAGGCCAGGGCTAAATCCATCAACTCACAGTGCAGGCATTTCCGGAAAGATGGCACCCAAATCCATGTGGGGGAAAAAAAAACAGAGATAAAAGAATCCCTCTTCTGAGGCTTCACCTCCTGAGACTGTGCTCATCCCTGAGCCCCACTTAACAACTGGGGGCTCAGAGGATGCGAGGACAGCTGCCTGTTACCCTGAACCAACACTCTGTCGCCAACTCCAGTGCTGGTCACTCTTCCCAAGGCCTAGGACTGAGGAGCACCACCCCAGCCTTTTTATTTTCTAAATAAATAAAAACACATGGTGTATATTTTACATCATCCTAACAGCTCTCTCAGTTTCCTAATGGGGATGATCTCCACCCTGGGGAGCAGCCGCCTGCAGGCACCCCACCTCCATGCTGCACTGCATCCAGTGTGCTCCTGCGCCACGGCCCAGAGTCGGCCCGGTCCTGGGCAGGGGCAGGACTTGCAGAGCCCTCGCCTCCGATCTCCCTTCTCACCCAATCGAGCTGTGGCCGGTTAGCTTCCGATGGTGCTAAAAAGCACGTTAGATGTGCCAGATCAAAGCCGCCAGGAGATATGTATCTGTCTGAGTTGCCTCTTCACTGGTCGTTTTATCATCTACTGATGAAGCTTCTAAAAATGACTCGCGAGGCCCTTGGCAACAGTTAATTTTTAAAACACAAACCTAAACAGAAAGATGCAGATCTAACTATAGTTGTTTATGAAACCCAATTACTCCTGGTAGTGTGCTGAGGAGGAAAGGCTGGCAGTGCTCTGCACACGCGGAGCTGTTGGCCTCAGCGAACAGTGTGGCGAAGTCAGGCCTCCCGGGGCAGGGCTGAGAGCTGTGGGAGGGAAAGCTGGCCCCGCCTCGCTGCGCCACTTCAGAACTGGAAAGAACCCAGCTCCTTAGGAAATTACCCAGCCGGTAAAATCTGGAAGAACCTATAAATGTAAACAGTCTCAAATTCGAACATACTGCCTTATGTTTCAAATCATGAAATGCCCCAGGGCAACATAAAGGCACAGCGAGAAGGCTTTTTGCCAGCATAAAGGGCACAGTGAAGAGGTGATGAATCATCACATGTCCAGGATGAGGCAAAAGGAGGTGGTGCTGGTGGCAGAGAAGAAGGGCAGCCTGGGGATGATCATGGCCCCACTGTTTTTGTTAATCTTCCACAGATGATCAGATAGATAAAACCATCTGCCTCCATTTATCTCTCTAAATAAACACCTCTGTAACGTAGTGCTGGACCCTGTGAAATCACTGGAACCCAGTAACTACGGGTTTTCCAGTATTTTAGAAATATTCATTTTGATAAGCATTCATGGAAAGGAAATCTGTTTAAAATATATACATATGCAACACATTGCATATTATTATGTATAATAGATAATAAGAATATATTTATCAATACACAATTTATATATATGTATATATATGTATGTGTGTGTGTGTGTATATATATATATATTCACATATGCCAAAGAACATTCTGCTCTGTAAAGCATCTTGCAATAAAACCTTTAATCCTCCCTAACATGAAATGAGGCCAAAACACCCCCGCTGCACTTGGAGTGGTCAGGTGCCTTCATCGCGGACGCCATGACCCACTGGGAAGTGTGTGGTTCGGGCCCATTGTGCCTGGGAACCTGAATTTTCCTTTCACTGCCCCATAGTCCCAAAATGGCCGATGCAGTTCAGTCCCGATGTCCCCCAGGGGCTGCCTTCCGCAGGTGCTAATCGAAGCTCCGAAGGCTGTCCGGGCAGACTCCGAGGAAGAGGCGGTGGCAGAACGCCTGTGTGGCTTCTGAAGGGGATGTGACGTATCATCCACCTTATGGCTTCGGATACTTCAAATTAAGTCACTTAGCTAACATGAAACAGATTGTTTCTCCTTCATAAATATTTTAGGTAAGTTTTTGAACTTCAGTTTCATCTGAAGATTACCTGACATAATACAAAACACCAGCCCAGAAAACAAAGGGGAGCCTCGTTTGTCTCGGCCAGGAGTGAGTGATACGCACAAAGTAAGGCAGTCCTGGCCAAATTGGGTAAGTGGCACGCCAGCTGTTCCAGCTTTAACATCTCTGTATCCCTGGTATGTGTGTAAAAAACACAGGTGGGTGTACATTTATACACTCAAAATCACTTCCTTCCTCAATAGATTCTTTGATAAATTGGTCTGACATTTGGTATAAAGTCCTGCAGGCCTCAGACAAACTGATTCAGAAAATAACAATGTCAGTTGCTCTGCTCTTTCAATAAATAACCCACCAGTAAAACACAGATAATAACTGACAATCATACTTGTACTGTAACTAATGAGAGAAGATAAAGCAGCAAATGGACTGTTTATGTGCATTTGATAAATTGCATCCCCTGGATACACCACTGAAAAATAAATATGTGTGGTGCTGGTTCACTGAACTAAAGCAAGTATTTACCATTGAGATTTGGGATTTAGAATGAAATTTACATTTTATTTGGCAACTATTTTGATGCTATGTCTACAT